TTGTTCGTATACAATTTTTAACTCAGCCTACTCGAAATTGAAGTAGTCAGTCCCAAACCCGAATAAAGGAGAAGGGTTTATCATTTTTTTTATTATTTTAGAAAATGTATAGAATAGTAAACACACAAAAAAAAACCGCTCGGCCCGCGAGCCACGGCCACGAGGTCATGGCTTGTGGGCCGAACTGAGCAAGGCAAAAACAAGCATGAGCTCGTACCTATATGGGCCGAGCTAAGTTGCCACCGCTAATTCCATCTATATGAACTTGTAAAACAAATAAAATTAAGATGGTGCTTGGTGGGAATTAAAATTAGATTTTTAGTAGATGTGATAGAAGTTTTTGAAATGTGTGGATGAAATGTTGTGGGACCCATGAAAGATGTGGTTAATATTAATTGTTTAATTTTGATTTAAATTAAAATAAGATTTTAATCTTGACCAAACAAGGGCTAAAATAGATGTTGAAATTATCCCATTGGTTAATATTGATTAAAATCAAAATTTTAGTTTTCATAAAAATTGATGAAATATGTAATTAAAATTAATTTTAAATTTTAATTGAGATCAAATAGAAACTATATGTGAAAATTTAATAGAAACATCGAGGCACTGTTTGATAGGTGCCATTTTCCATGGAAGTCGGAATATATTTTCCAACTTTCCACTTTTTGCCATGTTTGATAGATAAAATATTCTATGTAATTTGTTTTCCAATATGAAGCCTCACGTGATGGGTTTTTCCTTATTTTTGAGGAATTGTTTTCCCACCACTTTGGTGGGAATTGGGGTTTTCAGCCTTTTTTTTATTTTAATAATGGAAATGAATTTTATCCCCAATTGTAAAAAAAAAAAAAAAAATCACTTTAATGAACAATTTTCATGGAAAACAAAGTCAGACGAACACCAAAAGATCCAAAATTTCAATATTTTTCAGGTGAAAAATTATTTCAATCAAACACAATTAATTGACAATTTCCAGTAAAATAAATTCTAAACAATTCAATTATCTGAAATTCCTTTTCTATCCACCAAAATTCCATAATTGCAATCAAACGGACCCTTAGTTAATGTGGAAATGGGGGCGAGATCAAGAAATATTCCTTCATGTGCACAACTTTAGGAATGATTGTTTGATTTAGATTTTTTGAGAATAAATTTTTTGAGTGCAAAAATATTTATTGGGACAAGGTACGATTGAAAATGAGTTTGAAGAAAAATGAATTTTAAA